CAGGAGGGGACAGGGGGTGACAGGAGGGGACAGGAGGGGACAGGGGGTGACAGGGGGTGACAGGAGATGGCAGGGGGTGGCAGGAGGTGACAGGAGGTGACAGGGGGTGACAGGAGGGGACAGGGGGTGGCAGGGGGTGACAGGGGGTGACAGGGGGTGACAGGAGATGGCAGGAGGTGACAGGGGGTGCCAGGAGGTGACAGGGAGTCACAGGGGGTGACAGGAGGTGCCATCGGTGTCCCCTGTGCCAGGTACACGTGGCAGGGGAAGCTGGAGGAGGACAGTGAGGTCCTGCTGGTGAGTGCTGCCACCAAAGTGTCCCCAGGGTGTCCCCAAGGTCCCCAAAGTGTCCCTAAGATGTCCCCAAAGTGTCCCCAAGGTCCCCACAATGTTCCCAGGGTGTCCCCAGGGTGTCCTGAGGGTCCCCAGGATGTCCCCAATATCCCCTTCGTGTCCTCAGGGTGTCCCCAGGGTGTCCCTAGAGGGTCCCCAAGGTCCCCTTGGTGTCCCCAGGGTGTCCCCAATGTCCCCAAGGTGTCCCCAGGGTGTCCCCAAGGTCCCTTTGGTGTCCCCAGGGTGTTCCCAGTGTCCCCAAGGTGTCCCCAGAGCGTCCCCAGGGTGTCCCCACAATGTCCCCAAGGTGTCCCCAATGACCCCAAAGTGCCCAGAATGTCACTGGGGTGTCCCCAGAGGGTCCCCAATGTCCCCAGGGTGTCCCCACAATGTCCCCAGAGTGTCCCCACAATGTCCCCAATGTCCCCAGGGTGTCCTGAGGGTCCCCTTGGTGTCCCCAGTGTCCCCAGGGTGTCTCTGGGGTGTCCCCAGGGTGTCCCCAATGTCCCCAAAGTGTCCCCAGGGTGTCCTGAGGGTCCCCTTGTTGTCCCCAATGTCCCCAACTGTCCCCTCAGATGATCAAGACCCGCAGTTCCCGAGTCCCGGCGCTGGCCCAGTTCATCCGGTGGGGATGGGGGGGATTTGGGGGGAATTTGGGGGGATTTAAGGGGGTTTGGGGGGAAT